CGACTCTGGATACTGTCACCGTACATTGGACTCCAATGATCACGATCAATAGGACTCCGGAGACCACGTGACACCCTATCCCTACATATGTCATCAATACTGTGCCGATGGTTTATTGGTTTCCTTGGATTCAATGTTTCTTGGCCCTGAGAGATGTCATCGTGGAGACACGTTGGAATAAAAGACGGGATGATCTCGTCGTGATCAAACACTCTTCGCCGTCTCTTTTTCTTGGTGTGTGGAATATCTTTGAAAGGATTTCTGTCGTCCAGTGAGATATCTTCTGTACTTACAGCAGGGCTGCAGGAGCTCACGCGCTTAGCGTTTTTAGGTTGTCGTCGTTCTGATGTTTCTGTTGCTTTTTCAGTCAAAGATGGCAAAGGACTGGTGTAAAATTCATCCTTGGCTCCTGAAGGGAATGGAGTGTGCACATGACGCCGTCTTTTCTTCTTCCTTTTTTCCTTCATTTTAGATTGTTCGGAACTCTCGCAAGGAAACATTCTTTTWAAGGGATTTTTCCGGCGATTGTGACGTCACATATTAATGCTCGCGCGTAACATAATCATAACGGATCTTCACACTCAATCTCGTACCCAGAGTCCGCACTTTTGCCATCCAGCGGCGGAAGTCAATGCGTGAGAGACTCTGGGGTAATGCGTTATTTCTCGATTCGTGATTGGTTGAAAATGACACGAGCGCGCACTGTTTCAAGTYAGTTTTTTAAGTCGCCAGCGTGCGCTCGCATCATTGGTCATACTCTTATCGCATAAACACAAATGTTTTCACACATTTTTGTTTCTTGAAAGGTATTAATACCGTTCCTAAACTAAGTTGTGTGCTAAACCTTCTTCTTTTTTATCATTTTAATGCTCTAAAAGCCGAATACAAAATTGACCTAATTTGCATAATTTGGGACGGAAAAGCGTCGCAAATCCAATCGATTCCTCCAGAGTCTTTCCGGCGTCAGCATAGTTATACCGCTGACATTGAAGCCTTGAAGACTCTGTGCTCGACATTGATCTTCGATCTTCAATCTCGTGAGCAATCTCGAGCCCAGAGTCTTCACGGCTAATGTCAGTGGTATATGCTGACGCCGGAAAGACTCTGGAGGAATCGATTGGATTTGCGACGCTTTTCCGTCGCAAATTATGCAAATTAGGTCAGTTTTGGTTTCTGCTTTTAGAGCATTAAAATGGCAAAAAAGAAGAAGTTTTATTACACAACTTAATTAATGAACGGTATTGACACACAAAAAAAACAAAACTATATGAAAACATGTGTGGTTATGCGAAATAAGGACGATTTTCTTGACTAAACAGGCGAGCGGTCGCTGGCGACTTGAAAAACCGATACTTGAAAACAATGCGCGCTCGCGTCATTTTCAACCAATCACGAATCGAGAAATAACGCATTCCCCCAAAGTATCTCACGCATTGACATCCGCTGGATGGCAAAAGTTCGGGCTCTGGCATAGGCTACCCAACCATTGCTTGAGAGAAAGAAAAGAATGAATGCGCAGAATGCGCACACTTTTATACTAGTATCGGCGCGCGCTCTTAGTGAAATGCGGATTAACTGTGGTATTACGTCACGATCCCGTGCCTCGCGGGATTCAAACAAGTCTGTGACAAGGTATGAAACACTGGTCACGTGATGGACCGTTGTGCGCCCCAGTCCCAGGTAGCTTGTCTATCCCTCCCTATCGTTTTTTTTTCGTATGGACTTCGAGAGCTTTCGTAAACAGTCGTATCGCTCGACATTTCTCCGATGGTCGACCGATAATGTCGCTCCCTTTCGTCGCTCCGTCGCTGCCACATATTCGATGCCATAAACTTGGTTGATCTTTCATTGATTTTGCTCGGGTTTCTTTGTAGTTTTTGTTGGAAACCTACATATCAATGTTTTGAGCTTGACTGCTTCGTGCAA